GAGAGAGAGAGAGAGAGAGAGAGAGAGAGAGAGAGAGAGAGAGAGAGAGAAAGCACAAAGCGCACGTGTGCACCTGAAGTAATACAGTAATACTCTTCCAGGTTTGGACACTCTGAAAGCAGCCATGGTGTCCAGGTTCCCCCTAAGGTAGAACTGTACAGAAGGGTCAGTCTTGCTCAAGACAATACTTTACCAGCAAGACCAAGTACAGACAAAGCTAGGCCTGACAGCAGTCTCCCTTTCTATTAGTTTTGCCCTAGGGAAAGGACTTAATAGCCATCTTTGACCACAGATGTTTCAATGAAAAGATTAGTGAACACCTTCCTACCTAATTTAGACACAGCACCTGAGTCAACAGTTAGACTACCCACCCCTGACTGGGTTGACGAACTCTGTATTTGTTTATAACCACTTTAGAGGGGATGAGCCTTGGAGAACAGCAGTTGGGAAGACAGGAGCACAAGAGGAAATATGAGACTCCGGGGACTCCCCAGAGCACAGGAACCTCGGATCTGAGTGCCCAGTACAGTGGTTCTCGGTGCCCCAGTCTCACAGGTGGGTCAGGAGGGACAAGGAGCCGGCCTGCAACTCACTGACCATGACAGAAGTGCAGTGCTGTAGACTAAAGACCAGTGTTGTTGTCGTCTCCTCCCATCTCCCTTCTCCTTCAGGACAGGGTCTGTGTAATCCAGGTCAGGCTTGCAGAGGACATGTTTTAAGATTCTTAGAAGAACCCTAATTTGGTTTCAGGTACCCATGGATGTGTATAGTAAGGCCCACCCTGGTACTAGAACATGAATTGTATCTAAGTCAACCACCAGGCCAGGTACCAGTTAATTAACAGATAGTTGTTATAATCACAGCCAGTAACACATGGGGGCACTGTCCAGCAAAGCATTCTTGTTTTTGTTTTTTGAGACAGGGTTTCTCTGTGTAGCTTTGCGCCTTTCCTGGATCTCGCTCTGTAGACCAGGCTGGCCTCGAACTCACAAAGATTCGCCAGCCTCTGCCTCCCAAGTGCTGGGGTTAAAGATATGTTGCCGGGCTGTGGTGGCGCACGCCTTTAATCCCAGCACTCAGGAGGCAGAGCCAGGTGGATCTCTGTGAGTTCGAGGCCAACCTGGGCTACCAAGTGAGT